CTTTAATAAATACTTTTTATCTAAACTTCTAAATTCGTCTCTGAAAGTTATTGTCGTAGTATTTAAAGCAATAAATCAATGTTGCTATCAGAATTATCATATGCAACCTAACTCCAGAGTAACTTCGAAGAAGTCTATGCAAAACTTGCTAGAAATTGGAGGTGCCATCCGACCCGAATGATCACATCATGGACCTATTAATAATTATTAATAGGTTCATGATCACATCGAGCATTTATATATGGCTCTTTACATAAAGAACACTGCGGCACCTAGGTCTATACAATTTAATTGGGCAATAATAAATTAAATAAATTGCAGTAATTTATATTCAAAAGAAATTCAAAAGAGATAGAACCTCCAACTAGTAGGATGGAACATATACAAAGACACACAATATGGTATAAACTTGCAATGAACTGTCTTAATAAAGCTTAAACGAGGATAAACTTCATAAACAATATATTTCACCCGAACAATTTAAATTATTAAATGTAACTGTTATTTTAATAAATTAAATTATCTTTTAAATAAACTCTCTTACGCCAAATCGGCTGAATCGGGGAACCTTTGTACAAACAAAGGTACAAGATTAGTATCAAATATAGAAATTAAGCTAACAAAAACAAAATATCCAAAACAAGTCTACGTTATATTAGGCCTATATTGAAAAAAAAAATGTAAACTTTTCAAAAATTCGGCCAAATATAGTTTGGCTGTGACTTTTCAAATGCTACGGCCAGGAAAGTTTTTTTACGGCCAGATTTGAGGAATCTGGCCGTCAAAAAGGCCAAATGGCAACCCTGCACTAGTGTAGGCCCTACTACTAGGCGAATTTATTCGCGCGAATCAAAGCGTCGTCGGTTCGCTTCCTGTGCTCTGATTGGTTACGCATTTTTTCGCTTCACAAAAACTCTGATAGGAATGTGAATGCGCATGCCCATAAACCGACGCTTTCGATTCGCGGTATAAATTCGCCTAGTGGAAAACCACCGGGTTAAATAAAGCTAAAAGCACATATGTTTGAAAAGGTCTTTGTCTGTGTGGGTCTGCAGTGCATTAATTTAGTTGGAGGACTTATTTGGGAAATTTGAAGAGGGGGGGGGGGTGTTCGCCAGAAAAGGGGGTTCTCCCGAACCCCCTGGATGGGCCTGGATAAGATAAGATAAGCTTTATTGGTCTATTCACATATAAAAATACATAAACAGAAATGTTTCTTGAATCTGGCATAACACGTTAACACCAACGAACATCAAATTACAAAAGCAAAGAAATTTTAACGCAACTACTCATTACATAATTTAAATATTATATATAAAATATTTTAAATATTAATTAAAGTTATAGTTATTACGAAAAATTTCATTTACAGCAAATTGAATTGAATATTAATTAAAATTAACATTATTTTGGGAAAAATTTTATTTACAATAAATTGAAAAGAATTCAATATCAAAAATATCAATTGCATCAAATATACAGTATATCAAAAATATAAAAATTGCACATGAATACAAGAAAACTGTAACAATTACATACTTATATACAAACAAAAATACACCAGGTAGGCCTTCATAAAAAAAAACTTGTGCAAGTCAAGAATCAATTATAATTATAAACTACAAAAATAAAAGCACGAACAACACCAAAAGCAATAACAGAAAAAACATAAATAAAACACAAAATAAACTTGACTAGCATACAATGGTGGGGTGAGTTTCCAAGTCCAATCACAAACATCCAGGATAGGCCTATTATTATTATTTTAATTTCAATGATGATAACTATCGTTTGACATTCAAGTTGTATAATTGAATTCCATTGGGTATGGGCGAACATCTGAACCGTTTAGTCCTAGTTCGGAGCGGTAAAAATCGGAGTCCAGAATGTGCCATAGGACAAGTACTTTGTGTAAGGGACTGGCTATACGTACAGTGGCTGTGTATACAACAAAAGTGGTTTTGTTAAAAGGCGTTGAAACAAGGAATTGAAGCAACGAGTCACGTGGACTATAAAACACTGGTTTATTTCAAAAGAAATTTTCGACCAGTCCTCCGGTCTTTTTCAGCTTACAAAACTAAATTATAAAATGTGGCTGATACAAGAGATATATCAAAGTGATCAGGGTTTGATAAACAAACCAAAACAAAATTAATGTATTGATAGCTATTTTAGGCTACAATACTTAAGCTTAAAGAATTATAATTAAAGTGTGTAAAATATCTGAAAGCTTTTTCTCTCGATCTTCATCCCCACTTCCCTTCTTTCTTTTTATCCATCTTTTCTTTTCCTTCCAACAAATTTATTTATGAAAAAGTATTATAGATTTTGTTACGTTCTTCCCATGCTTTAGTTAAAAGAATTTTACAATATTTGTTAAAGATTTTTCCTGCCATTTCATAATTATAAAAGGAGTTAAAATTGGGTTTGTTATAATTTGGTGTTCATAATGAATTTCAAGATCATCTAGAAAAAGGTGATACTTTAGTTCAGAGGAACCCGAAATAAATAAGTTACAAACTAGATTTAGGTCATTGAGGCATAGTTCTTCTTGTAGCTTTTTAAAAATAGGTTCTCTAATAAATTGTAATCTACATGACTCAACTATTTTTTACTTAGGGGTTAATTGGTAAAAAATCGCACACAAATCATGCGACGTCACTGACAACGCCAGGGAGGGAAACTCGCATTTGAGATACATTTTTCGAATAAGTTATACTAAATAACTTCTAATGACGAACTATTGTCTTCAGATGTCTTTGTTGGTCATTCAACTGTCATTTTATTTATTACTGTAATTATATCTATTTTTCGGTGATATTACCATTCTCAATAATCTATAAAACTCCCACAACGTCACGTTAGATCGATCGGTGGGGACACCGGTAGGGTAAATTTTCGTTGGAAGGTATCAAGATGATACACAGTTTCATTGGACCAAATTCTTGTTTATGTTAATCACATGCTTACCTAAGTTTATACTGACACTGGTTTCAAATTAAACCTGACCTTGGTTTGTATCATATGTGTTGACCAAAAACAAAATACATCATACAATACATTGTACATTACCATACCTTGTTATGGCATGTGTAATTTACTGGACAAGTTCTCATTGATAATTATAAGACAACGCCGTAAATACAAGTGCATATACTGTTTTCTTTGTTTTTTTTATTATATTTTTTTCTCTGCAATTTTAGGCGATTGTATAACCGCAATTATTTATGTACAGTATACATTTTTATTATATAAATGATTAATCTACGCCCTCGGCTTGGACTCTCACAGGCCTAGGCTTTTTTAATTTATGTTGGGTTACACACTGCTTCCACGCTGTGCTTGTTCTTCACAACAGAGCTCGTAGAATTTGTCAAAACCTTAACAAATAAGTCGTAAGTATGGTATTAAAGTCGTTGGTTACGTTTCAATTATTTGTCGATAATACATCCTGTTCTTCCAGGACTCAGTCAATCATTCTGGTTTGAACATAATATTGTTAACGAAACGTTGCAAATACGTTTTTAAAAGCTGAATAATTTTTAGTCGATCCCAAGCACATTCTCTCATATAAACTGCCATTTATTTGTGATACCAATATTTAAAATCCTCAGACTGTATTGGGTTCTTTTCTAAATTTCGAATAAAACACATCCAAGCAAACAAAAAGAAAATGTATCTCTCATTATATTTTATTAAAGCATTTGTGCTGAATTAATCTTTAAAATTTCATAAAAATCATATTAACCCTTAACCTATTGTACAGGTAATTCTAACGATACAGGAAAGCAAATAAAAACAATAACAATAATATTATATTAGGACATATAACACTTTATAATAAATCTTTAGCAATTTACTAAAATCGGATTTCACATACAACACAACACAATTTGATCGTACACAAAAACAAAGTAATTACAAGATAAATAAATTGGGTTAATTGCTACTATGTAAAACAGTGTGTGAAATTAATATAATTAAGATATTGAACTCAATCACCTGTAATTGAAATATCTATAAATAATACACCCCATTGATCATATATAACAATTTATAATAATAATAACATGATCAATAAGATTAACATTTTCATTAAGAAAAATCAACTATTTACAAAGTAGTACCATTACATTAATAACAAAATATTAATGATGCTGATGAAACTGATTAATGTATTCATTATAATTTATTTATCAACATTTCACATGTGCGACCTATCTATTGTTAGCTATCATATTTTTTTGGATTAACTGAATATAAAATAAACCTTTAAAAAATCAATTAAAAAAATTGAATAGTTCATTTAAACAGGTCAAATAAGTTATTACATTCCAATTACAGAAGTTCATTTTTTCAAATCTGTTGCTACAAAAATCCTTAATTTGATAACCAGTCACTTTTATGGTCTATGTATTGAATATAACAACATGTTGTCCATTAACTGGCAAGAAAAAAAATCAACAAATAATAATAAAACAATAATATTAATAAATGAGACTTTTTATGTGATAAATAATACACAATTTTCCTTCATGTCTGATTACAGGAAGCATGGAGTTTTTTTAACCTTTAGAGTTTAGAAAAATTATTGATGTCCAAAACGGGGATAAGGTGGGGGTGGGTAAAGGTGGTCTAAAATTTTCCCCATGCTTCCTTTCTCTATCATTGTCTACAAAACAGCTTTACATAACATAAAATAAAACCCTTCATCATTCTTCTTCCATCCTATTAAATTATGCATTTATATTAATTATTATATAACAATATATGCCAAGCCTGCTTAACCACAGACATAATCGACATACTCATTACGAACTCTATTACATACAAATATTATCATGTTCTTGAATTTATCACAATAAACTTTATCACAACTGGAGTCATAAAAAAAAGGGAGAGGGACGATTTGCTTTAATGTTACCGAATAAAATATGAACATGGATGAATTGTTTGTTTATTTATTTATTTAAATGTTTATTGTTTAAATGTTAGCCCATTGATAACGATGACAAGGATGAAATATTTACACATGAGCCAATATAGAGAATACATGGCTGTTAAAATGAGAGCCAACTTATAAACATGATATGGATGAATTGTTTAAATGTGAGCCAACTAAATACGATGACAGGAAAGGGTGGCATTAAAATTACCAAGTTAATACTAAAACAATTATTATAAAATTGAATAAGTAGAAAGAGCACACAGCTTTGATTTGGGCAAGGATCCTACTTTGAAAAATAATAACCCTTTTTAGATCTCTTAAAAAAGTGTATATGATTGGATATGACTAATATCTAAGGTTAAATAAAACATAATCTAACATTTTATACGTACGTTTCATGTTTTCGACTATGCAGTCTGTAGTCATTATCAGGCCTGTTTATTCACATCAAGATATCTATGAACTGGGACGAGAGACAATGCAAACTGTCAACTCTTTTGAACTCGCATCTTGTCAGTGAGAATTCTATTGGCTAGAAACAAACAGTTCTGACGCTGACTACAGACTACGTAGTTGTAAAAGTTTGACGTACGTATAAAGGTTCATTTGTGTTTAATAAATTATACCATATAAGACCAAATACAGAAGAAGCTAATAATTGCAATCTTTAAAATAAAAATTTAAATCTAAAAAAAATATGGTTCAAAATATCTAATGTGTATCTAATTTCGCTTAAATTAACGCGTACAACCAAACAGCCACTATGATAAAAGTAAAAAATAATTTCAACTGAAATTCCTCAATTTATGTGACATCTATAAGACTTTCAATGATTATTCTGCAAAATTTGTATTACACTTGGAATGTGAGGAAAGAGTAAAACTTTAAATAATTTAATTTCAGAAATGTATTTCTTTACTATATAGTTTTTGACGACACTGACAGTTCACAAAGTTTCAATCACTTTAATAGCCCTGACGCAAACATATTTTAAAATTTCATAGTACTTTCAATAACTTTGTTAGGTATTCATGACATTCCAGCACTTGCAGGACATTCCGGCACTTCCATAGCATTCCGGCACATCCATGACATTCCGCCACTTCCATGACATTCTGGCACTTTCATGACATTCTGGCACTTCCACTATATTATCCAAGTGTCCACCACTTTTTCAAGTTTTATGACATTTATAAAGAATTTTCCATGAAATTTAGAATTTTTCCATCACATTTCCAAGTTTATGACTGATATTTTTAAGGGTTCCACAGAACTTTCTATTTTTCCGGTTTTTCTGACTTCTTCCAGGTTTCTTTGTGACATTTCCAAGGTTTTTCATTGCAATTGGAGCCCAACTTGAAGAATGAGTGAAGAATAACATATACAAACTTGAAGTATCTAGTCCAATAGAGAAACTAGCTTGGGAAAAACCTCTTTCCTCCCATCATTCTAGTCATCATATTCATTAATAAGGAACTGGTACACAAAAGAAGCTTTCTTCCTTGCCACACTTAAAGATGTCCTCCCAGACTTCTCAAGTTGACTTGCATTTTGGGTTCTCAGAAACAGACTACCGAACATGGTCGCTGAAAAAAAAAAAAAATTGAGAATGTATGTTGTACATAAGTGAGGTATATGTAGAATGCTAACAATTAAAGTGCAGGTCTCTCTCTAATTAAAGATCACATTTGGGATGGTGATTAGCAGATTTGGTCTTCAATTAGAATAATAAAGATAAAAGACATTAGATAATAACATAAAAGTGATCATTAACACTCTGACCGGTTTGAAAAAATAGTATCAGCCACCGCCAGACTTTTCAGAAAATTTTAACACTTTTCCGAAGCTCGTTGAGAGTGCGTACGTGATCAGATTGACATTTAGCGAATACTACAAGAACCACAAACATTTTAATTTGTCGGTAATTACCCCATCTATCCGATTCCGTAAAAAAATCTGACACATGGAGATCTCCGTGTTTTGCGGTCAAGCGTTGCATTACCAAAACACGGAGATCTCCATGTTTGGTCGGCAGAGTGTTAATTGGAGGTCGTCCTTAATTGCAGGGGTCTTTATTTAGAGGGAGACATGTATATTATTTTCTTCATTTGCATACTATATATTAACAATGGTCTCTTCAGTTAAACTGGGATAATCTTTTGGTATTCTTGAGACAACTCATTTTTAAATGCTGAACGGTTTGCAGAGAGGTATTATCCCTGCTTGTTGTCCTGAAGACCTACTCTTTAAACCCGCCCAGTGTCTGGCTTAAATAGAAGAGCAATTGCTTGGCTCCTTGAATAATATTGAGAGTTAGGCGTGCTATGGACAATTTTTGTATACATGTGTCCGTAATGCTGTAGTTAAGTCAGGTGTCGTAGTCCTCCTAGAGCCCAGCCCAAATTTCTGACTTAAGAAATAAGGACAAATAAAGAATTATTATTATGGAAGGCGAACCAACAGAAAAAATAAAGTGACGTTAATACATACACAATGTTTTGGCGTCTAGTTTGTTCTCATCGGAATTGAATAAAAGTTCTCTGATGAAAGCTGTTAAGTATTTGAATACATTTTTGTGGCTTGTTGGAATCATTCCCATTACCTACAAATAAGGAAAAGACGTAGTAAGTATTTCTAATTGTACACAAACAGCTAACATTATTTGCAATACCTATATACAATAAGCCATGCACACGCTACATCGTACAATCTATCACCACTCTCTGAGCTCGCTTAATGACACCATGATATTTGCTCATTTTTGGTGGCAGTCTGATGGTTCATAATTAAAAAAATGTTTCATTCTACGTGCCTCGTGGCATTACCTTTACTATGGAATGGCATTCGCCGACGACTGTCACTACAGTACGTCTTGTTTTAAAAGTTGTAACTTATATGATCAATTGATTAGATTTGACTTCAATTGGGAAATGCGTTGTTTTGATCGATTATTTAAGGGTTTCCAACATTTTACCACAGAACTATAAGTTTTTTATGACACAAAATGTTTGGTTGTTTCTTGGTAGTGAAATATACAGAATTCTGGCATAAGCAGATTTGGGCCCAGATTTCTGGTATTTGAGGCAAGTACCTTCACCACCATGATATAGCTCAACTCCCTATAAAAAGAAATTGTGTCCCACAACAAATCACAGACATTGCCATTAGTCTTACCTGCTTACAAAGAACAAAGTTGTTAGAGCTATCTAGACATTTCTGGTAGTATTTAAATGGAATTACAGGTTCACGAAGCGATTCTAGAAACAGCATTAAAGACTCCGCCACGGAATGAATACTTCCAGCTAAGAATTATCTTTAAGGAAATCATAACAGAAACAGTAGAACCTATTGTGAAGTCTCTTGTAGAACCTCTTGTGGACCAGTGGTGGCCTTCAAAAATTTGAAATAGAGGGGGCACAGGGAGAGAATGTCACAGATAGAGGGTCTAACCACCATACTTTTGGCACTTCTAGATGGCCAGAAATGGTACTCTCAGACTTAAATTTGAATATAATTTCCTTTTTTCTCCACTTTGTATATAATTTTGAAAAATGATATTGTTGGCTCAAAATTTAACACCACATAAAAACAAAAAGATACGAATTTCTTCAGGAATACCCAAGTCCAAACAGTCTTTGATATCAAGAATTTCGTTCTTCAGGCCTTCTTGACGGAAAAGATCCTCCTATTAAAAATAAATCCATTGCAATATTGTTATCAAAATCTACAGCTTTATTGACATCTATAAGTTTAATTCAATTTTTTGAGCAAACACTGTTTAACTTTCAAAATCAGTAATTAGTTTGTTTTTAAAAATGCTTTTAGAAATATAATACTATCAATTCACATAATTTGCATAAAATCTCAAAGAGATATATATATATATATTGTTACCATATGATCGATGACACAATATACCACTAATAAAATTCAAAAATATGACGATACTTTTGAGAACGATCATTTCAGGCAATGCCTGAAAACTTTATTAGGCCTAGCCATAGGCCTTACGCTACATACATGTTTCAAAAGATCCTACTGTCATCATCAGTGTACAGAGATTCCATATAGGTAATCTTATTTAACGAAGTGAAGTTTGTAACACGTTAATATATACGTAATTCAACTGTATCAATTTGTAAACACCAAGATCATGAATAAAAACAATGTATAATTAATGGTAGACGGAATGAAGTAAAATCAGAATGACAAAGTTAAATTAACATGGTGGAGTTGTTTGTTGAGCGAAGGCTGCTCCCATTGCATATGTAATGCATCCTTTATTTTGAGATGATGAATTGATGGGGCAGATAGGAACTCTCACATATTAAAACACCTTAAGAATTCATGCAAATGCGTGCAAACTTGTAGTGCGGACTGTTCCATATTCTTGATATATATTAATACATATATAATAT